AATTAAGATTATAATAATTTCATTTTAAAGCACAGCCACCACAAAATCAGACTTTAGCACCTCTTTTTACATTCTGAGGATTCTGAGGTTAAATACAGATTTAAAATCATAACAAGAAACCTTTTAATAGATATGATACATCAAATATTTCAAATATTTGCATAGCTATGACGGAAAACACTGGCATCTAACAATGCAATGCTAAACAATTAATCCTTAAAAAAGCATAAATCCAAATAGGAAATAAAAGAGTTATCAAATAAGCATGTGTCATATTCTGTGTCCTAAACTCCTGAAACATCGATCTGATGATCCGCATATTTTTAAACGGTCAATGTAACTGATTTAATTACACATTTTCACAGTAACTGTAACAGATTACAGTTACATTTATTTTGTAATTAAATTACGTAAATCCGTTGCATAACTTACTCCCCAACATTGTTTTTAAAGGTGCATTTAGTTGTTCTAGCTAGCATTAGCATCTTGACCCTGTTGAAAAAACCAGCATATGCTGGTTAGGTATGTTTTGACGCTGGGATGCTGGTTTAAGCTGGTCCTTTGCTGGTTTATGCTGGTCCTTTGCTGGTTTATGCTGGTCCTTTGCTGGTTTAAGCTGGTCCTTTGCTGGTTTATGCTGGTCCTTTTGCTGGTTTATGCTGGTCATGTGCTGGCCAAGGACCAGCATAAACCAGCAAAAACCAGCAAAAGGACCAGCATAAACCAGCAAAGGACCAGCTTAAACCAGCAAAGGACCAGCTTAAACCAGCATAGGACCAGCTTAAACCAGCATAGGACCGCATAAACCAGCAAAAGGACCAGTTTAAACCAGCATAAGCCAGCAAAGGACCAGCTTAAACCAGCAAAGGACCAGCTTAAACCAGCATCCCAGCGTCAAAACATACCTAACCAGCATATGCTGGTTTTTTCAACAGGGGAGTTGAACACTGCACTGCCATAATGATACTGATCCACTGCCATGGACGTGGATCAATATCATATTCTATGTAAAGGATCTAAATTAACGTTTTATGTAAATTACACTGATACTAATAATGTGTTTTGTTAGTCTTTCTGTCTTCTGAATTCAGTCATACAGGTACTGATTGCATGAGTCAAAGCGACAGACGTCATAACAAAGTTATTGTTCTTGGTGTGAACAGGCCTTTAGCATTCCAATCAATTAGGTGATATAATGTTCATCCAATAGTTGTAACTGATTTGGCTGAAAAGTAGGTAAGTGGACGCTAGCCATATTAGGATAACCGCTCACCAATTGTGCAAGTGTGGACAACTTTTTGGCACTTTCTTGTCCTTTCAGCAGCCCCTTATTATTGCTGTATGAAAAAGACAATCTTCTAAATATCACCTTTTGTGTGTTTCATGAAAAGAAAATCATATGTTTATGAACGACATAAATGAACAACTTTTTTATTTTTTTGGGTGAACTATTCCTTTACAGCAACTTGTCCTTACCAAACAGAAGGGGCTTTAGACTGAGTGTCTTCATTTCATGGACTTTCCCTGGCACCAGTGACACTTTTTGGACATGGCCCACCTAAAAATGAAAAAAGACTGTAGTTTTTGATAGACCAAAGAATATGACAATACTCACAGAGCCCCAAATCATCTTATACTCTTTACCCGTATTCCTTCAATGCGAGGGAGATACATGTTTCGAGGGAAGCCCGAGTCTGCAAGGGTCTGGGGATCTGACGGTCCAGTAACTTTATGACTGCTGTCTCTGCTTGTAAAATCCCGGTTTGCCGTTATCGCGTTAGAGACGTTATTATAATGAACATAGAGCAGAAGCGCAATGACATTGATTATATAAACGTGGAAAAAAACCATCACCACCATGAAGTATGAGCGAGAACACACGCTGCTTTTCTGCAGAGACACGCGCTGACGGGGCAGAGATCGCGGTGGCGGTGATGATGATGATGATGATGGTGCTGATGCAGCGGTGTCATCCTCCTCAATATTGTCCTGGGGTTCCATCTTTTTGGCAGACAAGACTTTTATTGATCTGTTTAAAATACACTATTTAAACCTGTTCTCAATATTATGATACAAGCCATAGATGTTATTTGGCAGGTATTTGACAGATAGAAAATCCTGCATTAAAACAGACGTCACCCAGAAGAGTAGCTGACTGGCTAACCTGATAAAAGGCTACTTTTGTAACAAGCTTATTAAACACACGAACTGATAGCAAAATATAACGTTCCTCGATAACACCAGCGCATTTAAACTGCGTATGAAGACATTTTCGTAAGATTTATTTTCGTCAGTATAAGCGTACCTCCGGCTTACGGTAGCATGACACTCTCTAGCTTACTCAGCACTTCAGTTGTCAACATTCACTCTCTTGTTTACATCGAGACGCGTGATTATAGCAACTGCGCAGCTTCTAGTATCCTGCGAGCGGCGAAGCATCATTTTGAAATTCATTCTCTTCAAAATCCCTGTTGTGAGTGTCTTGTAGAGTCAGCTTAGAATTTATCTGTCAGCTTCCATAGTTGTGCATCTTGAAGTGAACGTGCAGCTGACTGGACTTTCGAGGGACGCCATTCCCCCGACCTGACATCTGCTGCATCTCCAACTCACTGCTCATCTGCCACGACGGCGACGTCCGATTCTCTAATGAGCCGTTCTTTGGAATCGAATCTTTTAAGGAGTCGATTGAACAGGTACACGGACCACAACTGATCTGGGCTGCGTTTCCCAAAAGCATCGTAAGCCTTGATCGTCCTTTTGATGCTTTAGGAAACGCAGCCCAGAACGATCCGTTGACGATTTGTAACCAATGAGTTAGCTAGTAAAACATTTGGAGTGAACAGTGGTTTTTATGAATAAGGTGAAAAGAAATTAGTCGAATAGCAGAATGTTACAAAATACTGGAAATATGTTTACAAATTGATTGTGTGACAGTTTCATTCGAAGGTAATCTGACGCCCCCGTTTTCCGGGGACAGTTCCGGTTTTTGGTGTCCTGTCCCCAACTGGAGTTGTCCCCGTTTTACATCACGTTCAAACCTGAATCGGGACGAAAGAACGAGCGCTAGGTTGTTTGCACATGACGTCACTGATGACGCGCGAAATGCAGCTGGAGGGCAGGAAGTGATTTTTCTCTCCATAGGAATCACTAGCAGAAACTCAAAATGCCAGTGTTTTGCGTTGTTTATGGATGCTTAAATTGGCCAAACCGAGAAACCACAAGCAGCTTTTATCGTGTACGAAAATGTGTTGTTCATAAGTGGGGAAAAGTCAAGAAATTGATTGAAAAACGCAGGAAAAAGTGGCTTGTAAACCTGTGTCTGCGGTCGGGAGGAGCGAAGCTCGTGTGATAATGCTCGTGCGTGTAAATGGTTATTATAGGATATAATAATATATTAAGATATTTATAAAGATA